TGTTGGTACGCTTGGGGTGGCGTTGGGGGACGGTCACCCTTGATAGGTATGATCGTACAGATACCGAGATAAGCTTTAGTCATGAGTAGTCTCATGGTGATAGTAAGGTAGGGCTTAGATTAAGTAATGAAGTACCTGTAGAAATATGAGGTTTTATATTATTGCATCTCATACCTATAATTTAATTTTTACTGTACTGAGTTATATGAACTAATTCTTTATTATTCACAGATGATGCAGGAACAGAGTCCGGATCGAAGTTGCTGGTGTCCAAACCTAGTGTATAGAGTGACAGGATAAAAATTTTCTTTTTCTTTTGGCAGAATTGAGTGTGTAAAAGCTGATAGTAGTGTAGACAGTGTATACGGTTGTACTTTATGCGATGTCTCATGTATGATTGTAGGTTTATCTTGACTTTGAATAAGAGATCGTGATAGTGTTTCTATGTGCATGACTGATTTGATCATGAAATTGTTTTATTTTAACTACGCCATTAGAAGTAAAAAAAAAAAAAAAAAACTGGGCGTTATAATTAAATTATTAATACTAGTAGAACTATGATAATTAATTCGAATATAATATGAATACGATTATTATATTTTTAAATAAGATATTGGGGATGGTTAGATTTTTTTTTAATTGAAATATTTATGATATATAAAAACTCAATTATTACAATTTTATATATATTTTCAAACAATTAGTTTATTATAAAAAAAATTTTATAAACTTCATTTGTTTGAAATTTATGTAAATTAATCACTCACCAAAAAAGTTATATAAATTTGTCTAAACTAAGTTCATATAAATACGTAATTGGTCGTTGGGCAGCTATTATTGGAGGAGACTTGAGTCAAAAGAAATCTCTCTCTCTCCGCACTCGCGTAGGTGCCTCTTCCGAGTTCCTTCGTCCTGAAAAACCTAAATCACGACACGCGCCACCACTCCCTAATCGCACACGCCGCCAATGGCTAACCCTCCCACGCTGCCGATCTCAACTGCCCAGGCAACCTCAACGGGCGCGACCCAATCGCAGCCCCCGATAGCCACGCCGGCATTCCGCGCATTCATTTCACGCCTGTCGGCGTCGATCCGAAGTGGCCTCTCTCAACGCCGGCCATGGTCGGAGCTCATCGATCGGACCTCCATGGCCCGACCGGAGTCCCTAACCGAAGCCTACTCCCGGATCCGCAAGAATCTCTCTTACTTCAAGGTGAATTACGTGACAATACTGTCAATCGTACTGGCCCTCTCGCTGCTTTCTCATCCGTTCTCTCTCCTCGTCCTCCTTGGACTCCTTGCATCGTGGTTGTTCCTCTACATCTTCCGGCCCTCCGATCAGCCCCTTGTCATCTTCGGCCGTACGTTCTCTGATCGAGAAACCCTAGGTGCGTTGGTTGTGCTGACCATTATTGTCGTGTTTTTGACCAGCGTGGGATCCCTCCTCATCTCTGCGTTGATGGTTGGCCTTGCGATCGTTTGTCTACATGGTGCGTTTAGGGTTCCTGAGGATCTGTTCTTGGACGACCAAGAGCCTGCCAGCGCCGGATTCCTCTCATTTCTAGGCGGCGCCGCCTCGTCCGCGGCCGCAGCGGCTGCCCCAGTCGCTGCACGTGTGTAAAACCCGGAGATCGGAATCTTGGCCGCACACGTCTTTGTATTGGGTAATTGGTTTTTTCCCCCAAAATTTTGTATCAGGTACTTCAAGCGTTAATTAGGGATTTAGTTTTTTGTTCTTTTGGGTATGTAGATTGGATAAGGAATTATGCAGATAACGAAATTATATCAGATTGTTCTTTATTCGAATTGTTGTATTATTTGCTGAAATAACTCTGGTTATGGTGGATTTAGCTTGATGAACAATGATTGTTATGATTATTTATTCCTTTTTCTTTGTTCTGCAAGTATTGATTTGGTTTTGGTGGCAGGAGGAGAGTCTTGTTGAGACATTGATTTTAAGGTAATATACAGTCAGAATTGGGTAATGGAGATGCACTGGGCTTAAGAACGGCACTTAACAGAGAATAGATCTTCATGAGAGCTATTTTTGTTTCCTGCATTTTCATTTTCTCCCATATGTCTAGATTCAAGAGAAGTAATGTCTTGCTAAATGGAGGCAGAGATAATCAGTTCATGGTAATATATCCTTGGTTGTTTTAGCATATGATGAAAATTCACATGGCTTATTGAACAAATTAGAACGTGATAGTTATTTGCAGATTGTGTATGGATAGAGTGGGTGTTATTGAAACTGATGCAAAGGTAAACAGTACGAAAATCCCAATTCCAGTAGAAATTTTAATCAAGCTGATGAAAATAACTCACAGCACAAATTACAAAATTAAATGGATTTGTTAGTTTGATATTTGTACAACCATCACCCCAAGTGACTACATTTATATATAAACTTGGCATATTTTATTTTAACTTTTCAATTTAATCATTTTCTGACAATAATAAAATTATATTTCCTCCAGAAAATTTGAAAAAAAGAAAAAGAAAAACTTCAATTATTAATGAAATTTTATTAGCCCCTCTCCCCCCACTGTTTCCTGAATCAGTCTATATATAAAGCTTTCCTCGTTTTCTATGTTTCACAGTTTTACTTCCCTCTTTTCATACTCAAAGACCATCACTTGGACATTTTTCAGCTATGTAACTCGGTATCCACCGCGCAGCCGCCGCCGCTTCATCTGTCAAAAGCTTCAATACGCCATGACTCGTCTCCTGACTTACACTATCTAATCAGATAATTTTATCATGTTAATCCAAATCTCATCACTCTCTTTTGCGTCTATCATTTTAAACTTGACCAAATCATTCGCTAGACATGAGCTCCTTGAGAAACGTCGTCAAGCACCCCATCTTATCTCTTGTAGACTCCACCACCACTCTCAAGGAGCTTAAGCAAATCCATACTCAGTTTCTCATCAATGGAAACCTCAATGAACCTCAACTTGTAGGTCAGTTCATCGCTTGCATTGCTCTTAACAACCCTAACAATCTCCATTATTCAAACCAAGTGCTCGACCGCTCTGACAATCCCACTCTCTTCGCCTTAAACTCCATGATAAGAGCCCACTGCAAGAGCTCTAATCCACAAAACAGCTTTCACTTCTACGACAAAATTCTTCATTCCAAAAACAATTTATCCCCCGATAATTACACTTTCAATTTCTTGGTTCGCACGTGTGCGCAACTTCTAGCATGCGATACTGGTAAGTTGGTTCATGGTGCTGTAATAAAACGCGGGTTTGAGCATGACCCACATGTCCAAAGTGGATTGATATTTATGTATGCTGAATTGGGTCATCTAGTTTCTTGCCACAAGGTCTTTGAATCAATTAAAGAACCAGACTTGGTGTGTCAAACTGCTATGGTTAGTGCATGTGCAAAATGCGGAGAAATTGATTTTGCAGCGAAGATGTTTGATGAAATGTCGCAAAGAGATCCTATCGCGTGGAATGCGATGATATCTGGGTATGCGCAGTGCGGGAAGCCAAAGGAAGCATTGAGTTTGTTCCATTTGATGCAATCAGAAGGCGTTAAGGTTAATGATGTATCTATGGTTTCGGTTTTATCGGCATGTACTCATTTAGGCGCATTGGATCAAGGGAGATGGGCTCATGCTTATATAGAAAGAAACAGGATTAAAATGACAGTGACATTAGGTACTGCACTCGTTGATATGTATGCAAAATGTGGGGATATGAACAAGGCCATGGAAGTTTTCTGGGGCCTGAAGGATAAGAATGTGTATACATGGAGTAGTGCCATGAATGGACTAGCTATGAATGGTGCTGGTGTAGACTGTCTTAAGCTTTTCTCGCTTATGAAACAAGATGAGGTTGTACCCAACGGAATCACATTCATCTCTATTTTAAGGGCTTGTAGTGTGGTTGGACTCGTTGAAGAAGGTTGCCAACATTTTGATTCTATGAGAAGAGTTTATGGGATTGAACCTCAGCTTGAGCATTATGGGATCATGGTGGATTTGTATGGTCGAGCTGGGCAGTTAGAAGGGGCCATAGATTTCATCCATAGCATGCCCATTAAGCCCCATGCTGGTGCGTGGGGAGCTTTGCTCAATGCTTGCAGAATGTACAAAAATATGGACTTGGGTGAGCTTGCTTCAAGAAAGATAGTGGAGCTAGAGGCCAAGAATCATGGTGCTTATGTGTTGTTATCAAATATATATGCTGACTCTAAAAACTGGGATGATGTTACAAATGTGCGGGAAGCCATGAAGGCTCAAGGTGTGAGAAAGCCTCCTGGATGCAGTGTCATAGAGGTGAATGGAGAAGTTCATGAATTCTTTGTAGGGGATAAGTGTCATCCAAGGTATGGTGAAATTGAGACAATGTGGGGAGAGATATCTAAGAGACTGAAGTTATCTGGGTATGTGGCCAATACTAATCCTGTGTTGTTTGACATAGAAGAAGAGGAAAAAGAAGATGCCTTATGTAAGCACAGTGAGAAAATTGCCATTGCTTTTGGTCTGATCAGCTTAAAGGAAGGTGTCCCCATCAGGATTGTCAAGAACCTCAGAGTTTGCTGGGATTGTCATGAGGTAACAGTGATGATTTCAAAAATTTTCAATAGGGAGATTATTGTTAGAGACAGGAATAGATTTCATCATTTTAGAAACGGTGAGTGCTCTTGTAAGGGCTATTGGTGAAATAATCAGTACCACTCCATATATTTATATGTAAGAGAAGATCATGGTATTATTAGTATGTAAATGAGAAAAAGAGATATATAAAGTACAGAACAAATAAATCATGGAATTTATCTGCAGGGTCCAATTTTTATGCAGAAATAGTGCTGTTATTGCCTTGTCTTTTGCCAAATGCTTCTGATGTGTTTGGTTTAATTTGATTCCTTTTTTGGTAAACTAGTTCGACTAGGAAAAGCATTCATGTGCATAATCACACATATTCAGGCTTTCCGGGTTTATAGGTACTTTTATATGGTTACGAGATATATCTATCGAGCTTAACATAAATCAAAAGGTTATGGAGATTTTCTATGATGAACAAAGTGTAATACATTTAACCAAGAATCGAGAGTTTCATAAAAAGATAGTTTATTGATCTCAGGTATCATTTTGTTCATAAGATCATGATTCAAGGAAGTATAATTATGAAGAAAATTGCTACTTCATACAAAATCTCTTCCTGGTGCTAAGTTCAGGAAGTACCTAAAAAATGCATTTCTTTAAATGAGTTATACATTATTCATCCATAATATTATTTTTTAGTGTCAGATAAAAAGATTTCTTAGGTGCTTCGAAAACATAAATAACTTGATAGATCTTATCAATACAATTCATAGACTTTAAAATTTGTTTATAAAATTTTTAAACAATGATTTTGTTAGGATCTTGAACTTGAGCTCTAGACATAAAAGGAAATATAGAATTTGCATTTGAAGCTCGTTAGATAAAAATCACCATTTTCAAACTTGTTAGATAAGATTTATTTTCTTTTACAGTACCCAACTGTGCCTAACCCAAGATACAGTAATGGAGCTTGAATTCTAATATTCTTTTGGCCTAATATGTTGCAAAGTTGATACGATACATTTTTGAAAAAGCATTTTGATTCTCAAGACCACATATATATACATGCTTGGCTGACACTCCAAGTTTCCTTCTAAAGATTTTAAAGAATAATTCTCTTTTTTGGGTAGAAAAAAGAATTATTCTTTGTGATTGGCATATAACCACCCTCATACTACTCATCCTTTTTTTAATTAATCCATAATTAATGATTAATATTATAATTTGTAAAATTAGTATATCTTTCACAAAAATATAAGACATCTTTCTTGAAATAATAATACTAGGAACTAAATTATCTTCATAGGGTAAGATAATACGATTTAACAAGCATATAAGATTTATTAAAAGCAATTCAATTTCTAGACGATTTGGTAAATATTAATAAGTTAAGAAATATTATTTTAAATTATTAAAACATTAAATATGGCAAGAAATCTGCGTATCTAATTATAGTCACCAACCTTATTTTGCAAACTATTTTTTAATATATGTATATACATATGTCATGCACAAATAGTATTTATTCGGCCTTATCCAAGTTCCTTTATTTCTTGAACTTTAGACATTTATTGCCCAAGAATCTCAACTTTTAATAGTCTAACAATCCTTAATACTTTTAGGCATGCATGGACATACACATACTCAGCACATATATAAAGAGAGAATTGAGGGTGTAAAAATTAAAGCTTAGGTTGTTCTAATGGCTTTTTGTAGTTCTTCTGACATATTTACTTGGCTTCAAAATCTTCCACCAGTTACTCAATGGAAAACCAATTCAATGTCCATGTGCATATGTCGAACTTCACCTCTACCATCCCTCAATCTCTCTGTGGTTATAAATGACCAATCTCAAACTCTTACTTTTTTTATAATAGCAAATCTCAACATGCCCATAATTCTTTGGTCTTCAAAACCATTCAAAGTTTCCACCAAATCCTCCAATCTATTGGATGAACAAACCATTTCTAATCTCTTGATCAATCTCATTGAAGTTATCCTCTGTTATGACTCAAACAAGAGTAATCAATCATTTGTCAAAATTTCGACATCGTATTTTATTTCTACCATCAAAGACATATTCAATTTTGTATTTCTCACTCTAGCATTCTTAATATGCATCTATGAAGCTCCGACAAATCTCCGTTCGAGTTGTTTAAATATTTTAAAGAACAATCTAATTACTTGTCGAATGAGGGAAGCTTCAAAGTCGCTTATGAAGCTCTTAGGATCAAATCTTGAAGAACAATGGATGCGATCACTAAATCTTGCAATCACTAATTGGATAATTGAACTTCAAGCCACACACCATAGTCTCAAGACACCATCACCACTATTTTCTTATGCAATTTCAACATATGGGTTGTGGAAAGTTCAATTATATTGTCCTCTCATTGCCATGGATATTGAGCATTCAAGTAATCCGTTATCAGATGAAAAGCTACAATTCTCCTTGAACTACCACCAGCTTGAAGGTGTAATCCAATTCAATTACCGAGTTATACTTCAAGAGAAATATATTAACTTGATGGTAAACACAGACAATATAAGGTATATTTCACTTACAAATTATATATGATCATTATTCTGTTATACATATTAGATCTATCTAATTAATTTTCTTAGCAGATATAATATTGTTCGAATTATAAATGAGAAACTCATGGTTGAACAAGGAGTTGGTGCAGAAGAAAAGCATTTTCCTTCACGAATATTTCTACAACTCACTCCAACTATTCAAACAAATATTTTAAGTGTTTCTGTGAGCAAATCCTCAAACAACCCACAAAGAGAAATTGAAATAGAGAAAAACCTTGAAGCTGCATTTGATCCACCCAATACTTTCCTTGGCCTCAAGGCAGCTGTTGCAGAAACCACAACAACAAGCCTAAAGCCTTGGAAATTTGAGCAATCTGTTATTGGCTATAGTGTTAACTTGAATTGGTTTCTTCATGACAGTATTGATGGTAGAGAGGTTTTCTCTTCAAAGCCTTCAAAGATTTCTCTACTAAATCCTAGAGCTTGGTTCAAAGATAGGTATTCAAGTGCTTATAGACCTTTTACAAGACATGGAGGTGTGATTTTTGCTGGTGATGAATATGGACAACATGTGAATTGGAAGATTGATAAAAGTGCCATAGGGAGCACAATGGAGTGGGAGATAAGGGGATGGATTTGGGTAACATATTGGCCTAATAAGTATAGGACCTTTTACAATGAGACTAGGAAGTTAGAATTTAGAGAACTTCTTAATGTTGAGATTGTTTAGCTTACAAATTAATTAATAGCATTTATATAAAAAAAGTCAAAAGTAAGTTCATATTAGTCTATAAAAATATGATGTCTTTTATTTTGTAAAATATCATATATTTAATAATATTATTATTAATTATTATTTTATTTATTTCTGTTCTTATTTTTTACGAAAATTTCATGTGTTATTTGACATTAAATTTATTTAAAATAATTTTTTAAATAAATAATTGTAAATTTTTAATAAAAAAATATAAAGTTAGTTATTTGTAATGAAATATATTCAAGTTGGAACTATTATTTTTAAAGATAACTTTGTTATGATGTGATAAAATTTGTTGAATTAGGTTGGCAATTATTAAACTTGATTTATTAATTTTTCTTTAACGGGCCGGGTCAGTATCCGGATCCATTTATCACATTGACCGAAAAAGTTCGGTCTGGGCAGTCTCACTATAATATACATAAGTTCAGCCCTATTGCATACATGAGGAAGCAGAATTCATGAGCTACATAAAACGGTGCGTTTAGAAAAAGAGGAACTAACTCGAGCTAAGCGCGCACCAAGCGTACGTTAGTAACAAAGATAGAGAGAAACGGTTCTTTTTTTTTTTTTCGGTGGAGAAACTGAGACTCGACTGAGGTAAGGAGGCGGACATTTCTAAGCTCTCTCTCTATCTGCCCCTCAACTGCTTAGCTGACAATCATTTATAAATCTTCTTCCTTCTCTTTTCTCGAATTTGCCACCCAAATTTTTTCTCCATATACAAAATTTCTCCTCTCTTTTCCTCTTCCATTAACAAATCTCTCTCACTCGCATTTCTTTCATTTAATTGCCTTCAACCTCTCTCGTTTTCTCTCAATGGAGTCCTCCGCTGTTCTACGATTCGCTCACTGTAAGTTTCTCCTTCTCTCCGTGCATACATATGTCCGTTTCTGCGCTTTTTTCTTATATCTGTTTGGTTTGGTTCGATAGTTTCTGAGCTTGTGTACTTCAATTAACTTCTGTTTGATTCCTTGCAAAATGAAAAAGGAGTGGATATGGAAAAGGAAATGTCAAATGCGCTTCAAATTTCGTTTTCGATCGTTTTCATCTTATTGTGGAATATAAAACGTTATTCTACTCTATTATATTTCGGTTGTTGTCATGTTACATTCCGTCGATAATTAGTGGAAATTTGGATTCCGAGAGAGATTTGGCTTGAGCTAGCGAGATCTAATGTGATTTTTTATTTGAGATTCAGGAGTTAGTTGATATTTAGTTATTAAAGATTCTTCAGTAAGTAGTAAGCTAATTGGATCTCATTGTGAATAGGAAACAAGAATGAGCCTCGGCACTTTGTGAGTGGCTTGTGTTAAAAATTTTAGTCGGAAAACAAGAATCTATTTGATATTGTAGTCTATTTTCTGATAATTTGTCGACTATTCTTAAGTGCCTCAGGCAGTTGGTTTTGGTTTGAATCTCAAACTGAAGAGAAAAGGAAACAGAAAAAAGAGAATTTTTGTTGGAAGCCTTCCTTTATTAGGACTTTCTAATTCATTTATGTGTCACAAGTTGTTTAGTGGAAACAGACTAGCGTAGGTAGAAGATTACTGAGATTTAGTTGCTATTTTCATTAGTGAGAGTTTTTGAAAATTTTCTAAATCTGCTGAAAAATTAATTAAACAAGCTTCTGCACGATTGCTTCAGTTTTGTTGAAAATTATTTGTAAAAAGTACAATTTTTTTTCTTCTATGCTGCATTTCCACGGTCATTGAAATTGGGAAGGATGAGTTTTAGATATTTTATTGATAGAATAGGAAATTACTTCCATAACCCAGTGTCCTTGGCTTCAGATAAAATAGAAGCATTGTTGACCGAGGTGCAGCTGTGCAAATGAATCCTGGGGATATTAGTTTTAGGCATCATTAGTTACAGTGTTATATATATGAAACAATTTTAGAGTCTATTTGTCTACATGATTTATTCATGCTATGCTTTTGGAGTTGTTTAAATCTCAGTGATCCTATAAATACTGACCTTAATCACTAGTTATTCCTTCTTTTCTTGCATCTTTTATCATTAAACAAATCACAACTTGAACTACTAATCATCCAATTCAAAGCTGAAAAGCAATTCAAAAAATTTAAATATGACTGTGCTTTTGGAGTTGTTTAAATCTCAGTGATTCTATAAATACTGACCTTAATCACCAGTTATTCCTTTTTTTCTTGCATCTTTTATCATTAAACAAATCACAACTTGAACTACTAATCATCCAATTCAAACCTGAAAAGCAATTCAAAAAATTTAAATATGACTTTGCTTTTGGAGTTGTTTAAATCTCAGTGATTCTATAAATACTGACCTTAATCACCAGTTATTCCTTCTTTTCTTGCATCTTTTATCATTAAACAAATCACAACTTGAACTACTAATCATCCAATTCAAAGCTGAAAAGCAATTTAAAAAATTTAAAGATGACTTATTGGATGCCAGATTTTGTAGGTTCTGCTTTACATGCACAACACATGGTTGAGAAGCCTAGTAAGGTTCATATTTGTAACGGCAGCTGGCCAGTGTCAGGTACTTCATACATCCAAGGCTTGACAGTTGGCAAAAAGCTCACCTCTTCTCCAATAAAGAGAAACACAACAGTAAAATTGTGTGCAAAGACATCTGACACTGCAGTAACAGCTAAATCTGATGGTAAGGTTATGCTTCTTATTTTGCTCCAATGACATTTTATCTGAATTCTAATAATTGTTAACGCTGGGATTAATTATTCAGAAGGTTTAAATAACTTTTAGCAACTTCTTTAATTGTAAGGAAACTCCGCTCTGATTAGGGTTTCTATTCACTGATTTACTAGTGTGACCTTTGATCCTGAGCTTATACCTCTTTCATTTTTGTGTTTCTAGCCTCTTGTTTTGCAAAAATGCTCTATTTATCTGAATTCTGATATCTCTTTTACTGGGATTAATATTTCAAATAGTTTAAATAACTTATAGGAACTTATTTGTAAAGCTTCACTCTGATTTGGGTTTGTATTCACTGATATATTTCATCCTCCAGACTTGGATTCTTCGAGGAACCTTTTATACATGTGCAGGATTATTTGAGAATTTATGCCTTGCATCCTAAAATTTTTCATCTTACTAAAACAGTTTCATTAGAAAGCACCAAGCCGGTTCCAAAGGAGAAAAAACCTCTGCAGCGTGCAACTTTTCCAAATGGATTTGAGGTTAGTTTTATATTAAAAAACTCTTGTTTTAATGTATGCTCAGAAAAAAGATGGATGTTGTTCTTTTGCCGCTATCTCTAAAGCTTTTGAAACTAAACATCTGGCTTAGCAGTAGATTAGGTTATCGATGCAGTTAAGATTCATGACAAAATTCACTAGCGTTTGCATGATAGGACAATATGGATATGTACTTTTACATATGTAAAGCAAATTTAAGATTGAATCTGTACCACAATATCTTCAACAATATTAAGCACTTCACTTAATCGTAGCCTCTTTCTTACAACATATCCTCGTTGATTTGTGCCTTATTTGTGTTTGTATTTTTTCCCTTAAACTGTCTTTAACTCCCTATGATTAGCTTGACATTTGAATTGCTAGGTCCTTAATAATATATAATTAATTAATTTCTCTCATTTTGTGTTGAAGCATGAATTTTGTTGTTCAATTGTCAGGCACTGGTACTAGACGTATGTGATGAGACAGAGATTGCTGAGCTGAAACTTAAGGTAGATTTCTACTGCCTAAGTAAGCCACTTATTTGTTGTTGCAAATCTCATCCTTACTTCTCTAGTATATCCTTTCAGGAAAATGGTTTGAATTGTTGATAAAACTGTAGCGTATAAATA